CAAATTTCATTGAATTATCTCCAAAATTGCGACCTGTAGTTTGATTACAATGTTTACAAGCCCTGTTCGGGGGTACAGTTGTATGGGGCCAGGTGAAATAATGGACCGATCTTAACCATTTTCAATAGGCTTCGTCCCTGGTGCAATAAAATATCATGTACCAAATTTCATTGAATTATCTTCAAAATTGCGACCTGTAGTCTGATTACAAGGTTTACATGGACGGACGGACGGGTAGACGGACGGACATAGCTAAATCGACTCAAAAAATGATTCTGAGCCGATTGGTATACTTTAAGCTGGGTATAGGACAAATATTATTGTGCGTTACAAACATCAGCACAAACCTAATATACCCTCCCCACTAAGTGGTGTAGGGTATATAAAAAGATTTCTTATATGTATACACAAAATATCTTATTCCGATATCTTTATTTATCAATGAAAAATGCGATTTTCTGAAATGGATATTATATGACATATATGAACAATTATGGACCGATTCGAAAAAAACTTATTTTTATAGCCTATTTATACTCTACACCACTTTAGTGGGGAGGATATATTGTAACGCACAATAGTATTGGTCCTATTCCCACCTTAGTGTATACCAATCAGCTTAGAATAATTTTTTGAGTCGATTTGGCTATGTCCGCCCGTTTGAAAATAATTCATTGAAATTTGGTACATGATCTTCTATTGTTCCAGGGACGAAGCCTATTGAAAATGGTTAAGATCGGTCCATTATTTCACCTTGCCCCCATACAACTGAACCCCTGAATAGGGCTTGTAATCAAACATAAGGTCTCAATTTTAAAGGTAATTCATGAAATTTGGCACATGATCTGTAATGTATCGTACAGAAGCACAATTACGGATGCTAGAAAAACATCAATGTTCAAGGATCAACTTAACAAAAGTTAAGGATCGCATAGTAATAGGAAAGAGAGGTCTGCGGGAGCTATGAGAGCTAGCTATCATAGTAGTATGTATGTATGTATGTATGAGTATGTATGTATGTATTGTATGTATGATGTATGTATGTATGTATGTATGTATGTATGTATGTATGTAGTATGTATGTATGTAGTATGTATGTATGTATGTATGATGTATGTATGTATGTATGTATGTATGGTATGTATGTATGTATGTATGTATGTATGTATGTATGTATGTATGATGTAGTATGTATGTATGTATGTATGTATGTATGTATGTATGTATGTATGTATGTATGATGTATGATGTATGTATGTATGTATGTATGTATGTATGTATGTATGTATGTATGTATGTATGTATGTAGTATGTATGTATGTATGTATGTATGTAGTATGTATGTATGTAGTATGTATGTATGTATGTATGTATGTATGTATGTATGTATGTATGTATGTATGTATGTATGTATGTATGTATGTATTAGATGTATGTATGTATGTATGTATGTATGTATGTATGATGTATGTAGATGTAGTATGTATGTATGTATGTATGTATGATGTATGTAGTATGTATGTATGTATGTAGTGATGTATGTATGTATGTATGTATGTATGTATGTATGTAGTATGTATGGATGTATGTATGTATGTATGTATGTATGTATGTATGTATGTAGTATGTATGTATGTAGTATGTATGTATGAGTAGTTGTATGTATGTATGTATGTAGTATGTATGTATGTATGTATGTAGTATGTATGTATGTATGTATGTATGTATGTATGTAGTATGTAGTATGTATGTATGGTATGTATGTAGTAGGAGTATGTATGTATGTATGTATGTATGTATGTATGTATGTATGTATGTATGTATGTATGTATGTATGTATGTATGTATGTATGTATGTATGTATGTATGATGTATGTATGTAGTATGTATGTAGTATGTATGTATGTATGTATGTATGTATGTATGTATGTAGGTAGGTATGTATGAGTATGTATGTATGTATGTATGTATGTATGTATGTATGTATGTATGTATGTATGTATGTATGTATGTAGTATGTATGTATGTAGTATGTATGTATGTATGTATGTATGTATGTATGTATGTATGTATGTATGTATGTATGTATGTATGTGTATGTATGTATGTATGTATGTATGTAGATGATGTATGTATGTAGTATGTAGTATGTATGTATGTATGTATGTAGTATGATGTATGTATGTATGTATGTATGTATGTATGTATGTATGTATGTATGTATGTATGTATGTATGTATGTATGTATGATGTATGTATGTATGTATGTATGTATGTATGTATTGTATGTATGTATGTATGTATGTGTATGTATGATGTATGTATGTATGTATGTATGTATGTATGTATGTATGTATGTATGTATGTATGTATGTATGTATGTATGTATGTATGTATGTATGTATGTATGTATGTATGTATGTATGTATATATGTATGTATGTATGTATGTATGTATGTATGTAAGAAGTGTCTACTACTTTGCAGCAAATAATGTACGTACATATGTATTTGCGTACATAATTTTAATGGGAAACTTATTTGGTTATGTCATATTTATATATAAATTGATTATGCCTTATAAATTTAAATTTATTCCATTTACAAAATTATAAAACTCGCGATTAACTCGTTTTGACTCGAATCGCGATCGAGTTCTATTTTACGCTCTTTAAATTTTCAACTCTTATCGCGAGTTTAAAAAATTAAACTCGCGAGTCGAATAGATTTTTTCGCCGGAAAATAAATTATTTAAATCGCTCGAATTAAACTCGCTCGCGAGCGAATTGAATTCGATCGCTATCTGTACCCTGGCTACAATAACTAAATAACAACACAAAATTTTTAAATAATATTTTGCATTTGAACTAATAGCAATATTTTCTATACAAAAAGTAAAAAAAATAATAAAATTTCCTACATCGACTTTAACCATTTTTGGCCACGCTCGTGACAGTGTACCACGCCCCCTATTGCTATTCCGCTAATTTTTTGTCCTAAGAATTCATGTTGATACTAAAGTGGCTCCGAAAAATTAGAGGGCTCTAGTTGTTATATTTCCTCAAATATACTAATTTAAGATTTTTTGTGAGGGGCCACGCCCACTATAGCTAGTCCGCCCATATTGTCTCCATATGTTCAAAGGATACCCTCTACCAACATCAGTGGTGATAGAGGGTATATATAACTTTGTCATTCCGAGTGTTACACTAAGAAATATTCATATTGTACCCGACAAAGTATATATATTCTTGATCCTTATGAAATTATGAGTCTATTTTGCTATCTCCGTCTGTCCGTCCGTCCGTCTGTCTATGTGTGTAAAACATGCTCACGTTAAAACGAAGCCATAGAAATTCTCGAAATTCACCCAAAACATTCTTTATTATCCGGTTCAATTTGGTATTGAAAATCAGTAAAATCGGTTCACGACGTAAAAAGTTATGAGTAAAATATTCAGACTACCTCGAAAAAAAATAACGTTTTTTTCCAATTCTTAAGTAGTTTTCTCAGAAACTACCTAAGATATTTCGATGAATTTTATTAAATTAAATTAATTATATTTATCTTGATAAAATTCGACACAAATATGTTTCGTCTATATATGAACTACTCTACGAATTTTTTTTCGGATAGGATCATAATTGGTCATACCTCCCATATAAGGTCCACTTCCGAAAATCACTGAAACGCATATGTTTCATTGATAAATAAAGCTATCGGTATAAAGTTCAACTTGAATATGTTTTGTGTACATATAATTAATAATAACAAATTTTTCTGGAGAGGCCCGTAATTGGTGATAGCTCCTATATAAAGTCCACATCCGAAAATCACTTAAACGCACATATTTTATTAATTAATAAATCTATTGGAGTAATATTCGACTTCAATTTCTTTTTTGCATATAAATCATTATACGAATTTTTTTTTGATCGGTCCATAATTGGTCACAACTCCCATATAATACATACATACATACATACATACATACATACATACATACATACATACATACATACATACATACATACATACATACATACATACATACATAAATATTCCTAAATATTCATGTTGATACTAAAGTGGCTCCGAAAAATTGGATAATATACTAATTTAAGGTTTTCTTTATATGGGAGAGGCCACGCCCACTATAGCTTGTCCGCCCATTTTGCCCCCATATGTTCATGTGGATGTCAAAGCTGTCCATACAAAATTTTAGAACTCTAGCTGTTGCAGTTTCTGAGATATGTGATTTTAAAGGCTTATTATGTATGTGGGCGTGGCACTTTGCCCACAAGAAATTTTTAAATAAAAAGTAGCCTATAGTTCCTTCCAGACATACAGGAAGGCACTGTGAAAATTTCAGGAAAATCGGTCCAGCCGTTTAGCAGTCTATAAAGTCCAAACAAACAAACAAACAAGCAAACAAACATACATACAAACACACATTCATTTCTATATATATAGATTATTTTGCATTTTACTAAAATATTTTGTACAATTTCGTATATATTATGAAAGAATTTCGTGGTGCGAAACCACGAAGCATTTCGTACAATGTACAGCATTTTTCGTATATATTAGGCATGGATGATTATCAGTGTATGTATATTTGTTTAATGTAGAGACATTTTGGGCATGTGGGATTTTCTTTATTTGCGGTATATATTAAAAAGAACACTCTGGCAACATATACACTTTTTGACATAAGTATACAACTTTTGTTGTTTTTGTAGAATTGACTTCACCTTATTATTCCATCATGGCACAGGGTATACAGAGGCGTCACGAGCAAAAAAAAATATTTCTATCTCTTTCAACACAAGTTTCACAAAAGCTGGACAACATCTGATTTTAGACTTTTATAAACGTCAAAGGTGACACCTCTGTATACTTTGTGGTTGGTAGTCTTCAATGCATTATATTTAAGTTAAAATATATGTTTTGCCAGTAAAAACTGCTAAATATTAATGTTATCCACACTCTTCATTGCAGCTATTAGTGCGAAAAATTCGCAGACGTCTAGCTTTAATATATAGAGCGTTGGGTGATGAGGAACAATACAATACTCACATACGTCTGGCTAATCAAACAGACTCCGCACTAGGCTTGAATTGTGGTGCTTGTGGTGAAGTATTTGGTCTAGAGCCAGATTCCTTAGAAGCACTGCCATGTGCCCACATTTTACATGCCAGGTTAGTATATAACGATTTTGTATAACTTTTATATTTAACAATATTCATGTTATACCTTTTCATAAAGATGTGCACAAGAATTAATACGTCGTAAAGATAAAGGAGCACCGAGAGCGTGTCCGGCATGCAATAAGGTTCTAAGTTCCCGCTTGCACTTATGTAGCACCAATATTGAAGGCAGCAATAACTCCAGCACCACTCTAAATCCAAACAGTTTGGCCAGGGATAGTATTCTTGCCACTATGGACTCACATAATGATCTTTTTACATTGCAGAGAATGAGTAACACAAATCCATCCAGTGCTCAAGTGACTCTGATAAACAACCCTTCGGCAAGCATTGTTAAAACATGCTACAACGAAAACACTAATATTTACGGCGGCTTAAAACAGCAGCCACCGCAACAGCACAGTAACGCTGAGAGCACCTCTTTATTATTAGCCAACAATTCAAATTCTCCTAGACCGGTTTATCGCAGCAATTTATCTTTGGCGTCGTTGAGTTTAAGGGCTTCAAATCTTACTATAGACAGTGGTCGTAATGCGACTTCATCGGTTTAATTAATTTTTAAAGCCTTTAAAAATACACAAAACATGTTGTATGTAGAACTTAAAAATCCGGTCTTTTATAATATATTTTATTTTGTACCATTAATGGTGATACTTACACAAACTTATTAGTTCATATGAAACTTTTAAAATAATGATCCAGGGGTATTGCATACATAAAGGTTCATCCTTTATAAAATTTTGCCTGTTAAAATGGAGAAAAAACTATGTAGGAGCTATCGTAGCATTATCTATAGCAATTAAACAACAATTAAAATCGGGAATCTATACCTATTTTAATATTTTTGCGTATGTCTTTCATATTTAATGCCCGGTTCTGGAACATAGATTCATCCTTGCGCCTTTTAAAAATTTTTAATTTACATAGCCAATTCAATTGTCCATGCTGCACCTAATTTATGTATGCTACGGACGTTTTTGATTTCGGGGGAGTGCTACTCGGATTAATACGACACTTGATATTAAATTACAATGCTAAAAATTATAGTCAAGTCAAATAATATTGAAAGTTCGTTGAAAATATTTCACAAAACAAGTTAGAGTGCTATATTCGGCCATGCCGAATCTTAAATACCCTCCACCAGCAAGCTACTTTTTATTGAAACCCATCTAACTATCTATTTTTTAGATAACTCGCCAAAATTTTTGTCGAACTAATTTTGATTAGGTCCAGGAAAATTTAGAATTATTTATCTATACACAGAACATACTTATGTCGAATTTTATCCGGATATAATAATTTAATAACGAATTAAGTGGTATTAAGTGATTTTCAACAATTAACCTTATATGAACCGGTTCGGAAAAAATTCCGTACAATGATTTATATATATATATATATATATATATATATATATATATATATATACAAAATACACATTTACGTCAAATTTTATACCTAAATGTGTATAAAATGTGCGTTTAAGTAATTTTCAGAAATGGCCCTTATATGGGAGTTGTGACCAAATACGGACCGATTCAGAAAAAATTGTATACCTATGTATAAAATGTGCGTTCAAGTAATTTTCAGAAATGGTCCTTATAAGGGAGTTGTGACCAATTATGCACCGATCAGGAAACAATTTCGTATAATGCAGAAAAAGATCAAATATAACTATACTCCAATAGGTGCGTTTAGGTGATTTTAGGAAGTGGACTTTATATAGGAGCTATGAGCAATTAAAGGCCTATCCCGAAAAAATTTCGTAGAGTGATTTATGTAAAGGCAAAACATATAAGTGTCGAATTTTCTCAAGATAACTTTATTTGACAATGAAATATGTGCGTTTAAGTTATTCTCAGAAGTGGACCTTATATGGGAGCTATGATTAATAATGGACCGATCCGAGAAAAAGTGGTAAAATGATTTGTATGTACACAAGACTTTTTCAAGTCGAATTTTATTCCTATAGCTTAAGAATTCAATGAAATATATGCGTGTGATTTTCGGAAGTGGACCTTATATGGGAACTATGACCAATTATGGGCCTATTCGGGAAAAATTTTGCAGAGTGATTTATATTTGGGCAAAACATGTTTGTGTCGAATTTTATCAAGATGGCTTTATTTGATAATGAAATATGTGCTTTTAAGTGATTTTCGTACGTGAGCCTCATATGGGAATTATGACCAATAATGGACCGATCCGTAAAAAATTATTTTGTAAAATGATTTGTACGTACACAAAATATATTCAAGTCGAGTTAGAAGTTAGAATTCAATGAAATATATGCGTTTAAGTGATTTTCGGAAGTGGACCTTATATATGAGCTATGACCAATTATGGGCCTATCCAGAAAAAATTTCGTAGAGTGATTCATGTTTAGGCAAAACATATTTGTGTCGAATTTTATGAAGATAGCTTGACATTGAAATATGTGCTTTTAAGTGATTTTCGGAAGTGGCCTTTATATGGGATCTATGACCAATAATGGACCGATCCGTAAAATATTTTGTAGAAAGATTTGTATGTATACAAAACAGATTTGTGTCGAATTTTATCCCGATAGCTTTATAATTCAATGAAATATATACGTTTAAGTGATTTTCGGAAGTCGACCTTATATGGGAGCTATGACCAATTATGGGCCTATCCGGAAAAAATTTCATAGAGTGATTTATATTTAGACTAAACATATTTCTGTCGAATTTTATCAAAATAGCTTTATTTGACAAATATGAGCTTTTAAATGATTTTCGGAAGTGGGCCTTATATGGGAGCTATGACCAATAATGGACCGATCCTCAAAAAATTTCGTAGAATGATTTGTATGTACACAAAACATATCCAGCCCGAATTTGATCATAATAGCTTTATTCATCAATGAAATATGTGCGTTTAAGTGATTTTTGGAAGTGGACCTTATATGGGAGCTATGACCAATTGTGGACCGACAGAGATCTACGTTGGTAGTATGATTGTATGATTGGTAGTTTCTGAGAAAACTTCAAAAGAAATAGGATAAAAACGTAATTTTTTTCGAGGTAGTCTGAAATTTTTACTCATAACTTCTTACGTTGTGAACCGATTTTGCTGATTTTCAATTCCAAATTGCTTAGGATAATAATACATATTTTGGGTGAATTTGGTTGATTTCCTGTACTTAGTTTTAACGTGAGCGTGTTTTACACAGACAGACGGACAGACGGACATAGCTAAATCGACTCAGAATTTTATAAGGACCCAGAGTATATATACTTTGTTGGGTCTTAGATGTATATTTTTTGGTGTTACACACGGAACGACAAACTTATATATACCCTCTATCACCACTGATGGTGGTGGAGGGTATAATAAGAATTAATGCAAGACATATACATACGTTCTAATATATTTATATATATATGGTCTACCCTACACCACTTTAGTGGGGAGGGTATATTGGGTTTGAGCTGATGTTTGTAACGCACAATAATATTGGTCATATACCCACCTTAAAATATACCCATCGGCTCAGAATCATTTTCTGAGTCGATTTAGCTATGTCCGTCCGTCTGTCCGTCCGTCTATCCGTAATTTTGAAGATAATTCAATGAAATTTGGTACATGATCTTCCATTGTCCCAGGGACGAAGCCTATTGAAAATGGTTAACATCGGTCCATTATTTCACCCAGCCCCCATACAACTGAACCCCTCGAATAGGGCTTTTAAAACTTGTAATCAAACAACAGGTCGCAATTTTGGAGATAATTCAATGAAATTTGGCACATGATCTTTTATGGGAACGTAGATGAAGCCTGTTGAAAATAGTTTACATCGGTCCATTATTTCACCTAGCCCCCATACAACTGAACCCCTCGAATAGGGCTTTTAAATGAAATTTGGCACATGACCTTTTATGGCATCGTAGACGAAGCCTATTGAAAATGGTTAACATCGGTCCATTATTTCACCTAGCCCCCATACAACTGAACCCCCGAATTGGGCTTTTAAAACTTGTAATCAAACTACAGGTCGCAATTTTGGGGATAATTCAATGAAATTTGGCACATGATTTTTTGTGGTACCGTAGACGAAGCCTATTGAAAATGGTTACCATCGGTCCATTATTTCACCTAGCCCCCATACAACTGAACCCCCGAATAGGGTTTTTAAAACTTGTAATCAAACTACAGGTCGCAATTTTGGAGATAATTCAATGAAATTTGGCACATGATCTTTTATGGTACCGTAGATGAAGCCTGTTGAAAATGGTTTACATCGGTCCATTATTTCACCTAGCCCCCATACAACTGAACCCGCCGAATAGGGCTTTTAAGTTCATAATTATGTTTAATATACTCATATCTCGACAAAAAGCTGCAATAACCAAGTTGTATAGAAGACTTGATGACCCCCACAAATTCCATAATAATAGGTTCTCATATGACCCTAGCCCCTATGAAAAGCCCCCATCAAAATTTCACTTAAATGTCCACAATTTTATTCAACAATAAACGGCTTAAGTAAGGCAAGGTACAATTCAACTTAAATACTTTATTATGGCAACTAAATCACATTATATTTTTGTCAAAGGTGTAGAGTATTATATGGTCGGCCTCGCCCGACTATAATTTCTTACTTGTTTTACATGATTAGAATCGATCCCATGGAGTTGCTATCTTATTTCATAAAAACTCTGTAGGAAAATTGGCTAATTGTTGCGAAATATTTTAAAAGAACACATAGATAGTAGGGTTGTCAATTATTCGTGTTTAAAATTATTCGAATAAAAATTTACAATTTTTTTTTCATTCGTGTAGTCGATTAAATTTAAAAAAAAAATTCGATTATTCGAACAAATAATGAATAAAAGTTTTTATTCCAATTTAATAAAAAACAAGTAAGAAATTATAGTCGGGCGAGGCCGACCATATAATACCCTACAAATTCAAATTTTGAAGGGGGATTTGTATAGGAGCTATGGTCAAATGAGACCCTATAATTATAAAATTCATGAGAGTCATCAAGGCTAGTATAGAACTTAGTTTTGCAGCTTTTTGTCGAGACACGAATATATTAAACATAATTATAAACTTAAAATCCCTATTCGTCGGGTTCAGTTGTATGGGGTCTAGGTGAAATAATGGACCGATGTTAACCATTTTCAACAGGCTTCATCTCCGGTACCATAGAAGATCATCTGCCAAATTTAATTGAATTATCTTCAAAATTGCGACCTGTTGTAAACCTTGTAATCAAAGGTTTACAAGCCCTATTCGGGGGTTGAGTTGTATGGGGGCTAGGTGAAATAATGGACCGAAATTAACCATTTTCAATAGGCTTCGTCCCTGAGACAATAGAAGATCATGTGCCAAATTTTATTGAATTATCTTCAAAATTGCGACCTGTAGTTTGATTACAAGGTTTACATGGACGGTCAGACGGACGGACATAGCTAAATCGACTCAGAAATGATTCTAAGCCGATTGGTATACTTAAAGGTGGGTATAGGACCAATATTATTGTGCGTTACAAACATCAGCACAAATCCAATATACCCTCCCCACTAAAGTGGTGTAGGGTATAATAAATGAAACTGTGAGAGAAAAATATATACGTGGA